CCGATATTTTGTCTAAGAATCCAAAATGAATAGTATTCGTTCTAATTATTTAAACCGATAGTAAATTAAATTCCCTTCGCTCCTTAATTTTTCATACAAATATGTGTACTGCTAACACTAACACATACCAGCTATCGAAACCGAACCTTTTTAAGTTGCAAAAAGAGTACTCTACAGCTGAACTACGTAGCATACAGTCTATGGTGTTATATATACCGGTTCAAACGGAGCCGACGGTGGCTTCCAAATTCTGACGTCATTGTGGCACGCGTTGCACAGAGACGTATTTAATATTAAATGTCATCTTTTCCGTTATAATATAATCTTTTTAATTTCTGAGCTCAATCTCGTCAATAAAAATGAAGCTCTGTTCACTGTACACAAGTTGTGGTATGGTACATTCATCGTTGCGGAGCATGCGGAGGTAGGCGGAGCGAAAACCCTTGTCATCTTAGCAGTAAAGACGGCTATAAATTGTTTCCTGTCATATTGTAGTTTGCTTGAACTAATTGTGTTGCATCTTGGTTGCACCAAACGGTTATTATACTTGTTGAAATACATTTTCAAACTTCCATCTTTCTCTAGATCGTCGGTTTCGTAGCTGTGTGACAAATCGTTTGTCGTAGATAGAAAATAGTAAGATTACAATGACCGTAAGATTTTGTGCAAACGGCCTTAAATACAGCCCTGTGCGACGCGACGCTTGCCACAGTGACGGAACTTGCAAGCCATCGTCGGCTCCGTTTGAGCCGGTTTTATTTTATTTTTATTCGCAAATTTCGACTCTATGGACGGCTACTATATCTATGCAAGCTACTATACCATTGTAGCATTTATAGAGCAACTCTTAAAAAATACGTAGCGCTACAAGCACCACGTAAGACCAAACTGCATAAATACCTATTTTTTTCAATTTATACGAAAAAATAGTTTTTCACATGTTGTAAATAATGTTAAAAAAGAGAAACATTAAATTTTTATATACAAAAACTACCATGAAAAAGTGCAAATGAAGCTGCAATTACTTTAAGCGAATTCTTGAATATACTGAAGTTAATATTTATTTTGTTGACATTTTTTTTGTGTCATCTAATAACAAACATTTTTTCAGACAATCTAAAGTCGAAATTTTTGTAAAATGATTTTCTATATCTATATATCTAAGGTAATTTCTAGTAATAACATACAAACAAAACGACGGGATCGAAAAGTTAGTAATTCATTGTTGGTCAAATTCATTTGTTTTTTATATTTACACCATCCACAAGCAGTTTAGTAGTAGTATAATAATAATAATCTATATGCACATAACATACCGTAGCAACATTGTAACTGTAACAAGAAGAACATCTGGTGTATCACTAAAATCCATCTAATATAAATTTTGTTATGCCCCAACCAGCAGCTTTTTTGTCTTTACCGTCATTCATAAATTATACAAAATCGTAAACCTGGCTATATTCCTGTAGTACTTAGATAGTTGGTTTAATTTTTATACGTTTTAAGTTGTGTCGTGATCAGTGACCGTTCTTCAATCATCTGAGGTTCAAATTTTTTTGTAAGTGACTTGTTTTAAGCATATTAGTTCTCGGTAAGCAAAAGTGAGAGATCGTGTTGTCAAATTGTGGAATTAATTAATCGCACATAAAATCATAATTTTTATGTGATACCTTCATTGCTAAAATTTCAATATTTATCAATTTTGCTATAACTTTAAGCCGATGACAGAAAGCTGATGTAATAAGCAATCAATCAAACGAGACATCCCTATAATAAATGCTATATTTTTATAAAAAAATAATACTTTTATGGATGATGACAATGTCAACGATAAGTTGGTGGTTGTTTGCCCTGGGACTAAAATTTAAAAACTAATCATTTTCTGTTTTTAGATAAAATCTATAAAAAATCTTTATTAATAATAACGTGTATGTTTATATGTAGTATGTTTAATGTATAACAAGATATTATTGATTTATGCAATACAAAAATTCAAATGGTTGTTATGCTTATTATAATGAAACATGGCGCGAACTGTTTCTGTGCTGAATAAGATTGATTACTCTTTTTAAAAGAATGGAAAAACAATGTGATTAATAGCATTTTTTTTCAGGATTACGAGTGAACGTATAAAAAATGTTTCAATAGGAATACTGTGAAAGTTAAATGACGAAATGTAATTAGATTCGAATACGAATTAGCGTTGTTGGTTTTGGTGGAATGAATATAGCCATGGTCTGAAATTAACTCTTTTTGGTTACACAATGTTTGGGATATTAAATATTTATTAAGTGCATTATTTTAGATAAGTAGTAATAAGTGGTATGTATATTTTAAAGTAAATGTAAAACACAACCATGTAAAAAAAATGTATACATTTTATAACAAAGTCATTGTTACGCTAAAGGTGAATATTTTTGCAACATTTTTCTACGTAAAGATTTACAGTTACATTTATAACTTGCCATAATTTTAGGTGTTCTTCAAGTTTTCGAAAGATTAATTTTATGTAAACATTTGTAATGAGTTCAAATGCCTACACTCGTAATAGTAGGTACAGGTTTAAGTATAATTTTAGTCCGATCCTAAAAAAAATCCGCTAAAGTTATTTGGATAGAACTTCCTTCGCCCGTGAAGTATAAACGAATAAATACAGATTCTTGGAAAAATTATAAAATTAAATTTTGTGAATTTTATTTTTTATGGTAACCCCTAGAAGTTAAAATATGTTAAGGTACAGGGAAAGAAGCATGCTATGTGTATAGATCAAGTGAGTTTTCATAACAATATTTTGTGAATACTTCATCAACACTTTAGTAAGGAGATTTATACTAATTTGAATAGGTGCAGTGTAATACTAATAATAACATCACTGTATACTCAAATTTCCGGAAAAATGAAGTGAAGCGTGCCTGATTTGGTTAATAAAATAACTTACCTCATTCATTAATTTTTTTAAGCAACTCTAAAAAACATTAATGCGCTGATAAATCACAAGTTCAAATTTATAATATTTTGCGTATTTTACATAAGATTTATTGCCAAAATTTTGATATGACGGCATCAGTTTTTTGGGAGGGAATGAACGAATACATTTTGTTTAATGATTTACAATTTTTCGATGACCTTAAAACGTTTGCAAGATTTCAGAGCATTCGGTTTTGCAGTTTGGAAATTTCAAAATGTTGTTATACATTTTTTTTTTCCAAAAATCTGTATGTCTGAGGTAAAAACTCAACATGAGTTCATAAACCACAAGCGCAGAAGTATCTTATTTTATAAAATTTAAAACACGTTTGCTATTGTAAATTTTGGAGCGGTCCTCATACCATTGTTGCTGAGGATGATTTGAGAAATTTTGGATAGCATTTTACCATGTACACGATATTCCTAACTTACCAATAATATTTGTTAATAATTAATCGGTCTAGCAGTTTCGTAGATTAGTCTAATAAAAATCGACAGAGACGACAGAGAGACGACAAACAAACGATGGGCAGATGACAGATAGATGGAAACGTAAGACTTAGTTTTTCGAATTCTAAGGCTCATAAAACGTCGAGAAAATATAAAAGTAGCCACTCGTCCGGTGGACCCTATTACAGTAGAAGTAAAAAAGAAACACTGATCCTGTTACACGAATTTTCTTTTACTTATTGCTTGCCTGGTACAATTTGTAATATGATGTAGTTATTTAATTAGTTTAGTTGTTTCTTCGCTAAATGTGTCTAACAGAAAATACGCTTTATTCCAGCTAGGTGTACGAACATTTAAATTTAAAAACCCACCTGCGGCAGGAATTCGAATTAGTGGGCAAGCAGAACGATTTGAATTTGAATCTGAACCAACGAACAACATGTTTGTAGCACGACGATTTAGTCAATTGAGTTAAGAAGGTCTGTGGGTAATCGCTTGGTTTAAATCCTAGGAGTTATCATTTTTCTTAAAAATTGAAATATTAACGTAAATTTTAGCATAATAAACGAAATGTTTTCGTGAATTACTATGCAAACGTGCAACTTATTGAACATTATTTTGATAACAAGCTTTAATCATATTTGTAATTCGTGGTGTAGAAGGAATAACGAACTGTTATAATCAGCTTTTGTCTCGCCATACCATTGCAGATTTAAATTGAATGTAATACTTTTTGATAAAGTGTAATCTAAAGTAAGTAAGGTTGGGTGTCAAGACGACTGTTTCCCATTTTATTGGTATTTTCCGAATGTCTTATTAGTAATTTGTCACAATATCGAGATAGTTGTCATTTCGATGTCAAACTCCGTTTAAAGGTTGATTCATAACAGTCGATGTGACAAGCGGATGACAGCTTTCAAAATTCCATTCGAAAACGACATAAGGAAAAAACATAAGCTGGTGACATCACACTCTTGACCAGATTTTTATTTAGACACCTGATACCTTTACCCTAACAATATAAATAAATAAATGTTAGACAAATTTCACTAGCGTTTTAGCTTCTACACGATAAAAGTGTTTTGTAAAGTAGTTTCAAAGATAATCTTTTTTAACAAAGTTAGCACCAGCCCGACGAAAAGTGCAACCGTCATTTTAGTGTTTTACATCAACGAGTACAAGCTGTGGAGCGTTGAGAAAATAAAACATTAAACGTCCGTAAAAATGACCCTATTTCAATACTTCCCTAACTTGTGCGGGAAACAACGAAATGCGTAGATTATTATTAATAGCCTAAAATTAAATTAAAATTAAAGTGGAAATTTAAGCGAGTCACCTTAGCTGGCTTCTGATTGGAAAATACAATCTGATACGGCCGTGGTATGATCTATAAACAGATTTATTTTTAGTAATTTCATTTTTAATGCAAGTAAATGCTTCATATTGGAAGGCTTTCACCAATTGAGTAAAATTATAAAAAAGAATTGTCACATGTCAAAGAAAAATATTTGGTTAAAAATTTACTTACTACGAGTAAATAAAAAACAGTACTTTTCTCACATTATTTTATTTTGAAATTACAGATGTTGCCAAGAATGTGCACGCACCGAAGGGGAACCCTGTGGAGGAGACTTAGGTTTTAGTGGCACCTGTGAACCAGGCTTATCGTGTCAGCAACCTGGACCTTCACCAAGTGAAGGAATTTGTAGACCCATCATTTTTGACAGTCACGAAGACACGTGAAAAATACTTCTCTTCGCTGTTTTTGAGTAAGTTTAAATAAATAAATAAATAAATAAATAATAAATTTATTGTCCAACAGGCATTGTTGCCTATAATGGATACAAAAATTAAACATCAATACATGCGACAAATACATAGTAAATAAATATATACCTATAACGTAGAGACATTTATGTAAAAACACAATTATAATCTTGATAAAAAGCTAACACTCTCTTCTTGAATGTATGAGAATTAAAATTTATTTGGAAAATATCCTCATTTAAGCTAAGACAATTATACAACCTTATGCTGGAAATCAGTGGACTGTTAAAGTGATGATGTGTATTCGGAATTCTGTAGAAAAAGGGGCTGTATGATCTGGATCCTATCCTAGGAACTAACAAGTTTAACTCATTGAGGAGCAACGGACTGTTGATCTGTCCATTGAGGACTTTTTGTAAAAATACCAATTTGGAAATATTTCGCCTAGCATATAGTGAATTTTCATTAACAGACCAAATAAGTTTACGCTGTTCATAATGCCGTATTGGGTAATGTCCAAACATTTTAAAATATAAGTGTTTACAAAATTTTCTTAATATATTTTCTAGTGTATTAATATGTATTTGATAAAATGGACTCCAGATAATGCTACAATATTCCAATTTGGACCTCACAAGACTATAGAATAGGAGTTTAATACATGATACATTTTGAAAATCAGATGTATTTCGTATAATAAATCCAAGCATTTTTAGTTCAGAACAACTAATGTTTTCTATGTGCGGAACAAAGGTTAATTTCGAGTCCATCATAACACCTAAGTCTAACACTTGATCACATAACTCTAAGGGAGTGCCTTTAACATTATAATAAAATTCATGCAAATTTGGAATTCTCCCAAATTTCATTATTTTACATTTTTTTATATTCACTTCCAACATGTTCCTGTCACACCATAATAGCAATCTATCCAAATTCTCTTGTAAATTAAAACAATCTGTTATCGAATTTATAACACTTACAATTTTTACATCATCTGCATATATAAAAGCTCTACAATTAAGATTCTCGAGGACATCATTAAAAAATAAAACAAATAGTAAAGGTCCCAAATTTGAACCTTGTATAACTCCCTGGCTAATCTTAAACTTTTTCGAGTTATGACCATTGTATTCCACATACTGCACTCTATTAGTAATTACTGATTTCAATAACATGATTAATTCATCAGAAATTCCATAAATTCTTAACTTAGAGATTAACATACACTGATTCACTCTATCGAAAGCCTTTGACAGATCACTATTATAACATCCACCTGTTTCCTTTGATCCAAAGACTTCGAAATAAAATTTATAAATTCAAATAAATTGGATGTTGTTGATTTGCCCTTGACAAAACCGTGTTGTTCAGGTATTATCATATTGCTTACATGTGAATAAATTATATGTATTTGATACATTGGATTCAAAAATTTTTGTAAAATTTGATAGAAGTGCAATAGGGCGATAGTTTTTAATATTCATCTTGTTTCCACACTTAAACACGGGACATATTCTAGATACTTTCCACACACAAGGATGCATTGAACCTTTTAAAACTAAATTAAATATATAACATAAAGGTACTATAAAACAGTTAATGCAATCTTTGACAAGAAAAGCTGGAATCATATCAGGTCCGCTAACATTATTTCCCTTAAATTTCTTCACAGCCTTTATAATATCACCTTCAGTTATTACAAACTTATGTAAAACATAAACATTATCACAGATCAATTTATCACAACGAAGAGAACGGCACCGGACGGAATCACAGAAGTCACAGCCATAGCTTGCGTCATCACAATTTTTGTCACATACAGCATCTTTATTGAAAACTGATGCAAACTGACATGCAAATGCATCCACAATATCTTGTGAAATGGAAAGCTCTTTGTCCTCATACACCATATAACCAGGTATGCGGGTAGTCTTCCTTTTTGAATTAACAAATGACCAAAAACTTTTTGGGTCATTTTTCACTGAATTTTCCGCATTTTTTTCACAAAAGTTGAATATTCAATGCGGATATCACGTTTTATGCTTTTTTTCAAACATTGTGATCATATCCAAATCAAAAAGTGATTTTGTTTTTCTGTAATGGTTCCAGTGCCTTCGCTTCAGCTGAATATTACTTATAATGGTTTTCGTGAACCATACAGGATAACTATTATGAAAACTGGAATGGGAACATACTGGTACATATTGCTCAATTGTATGGTTTACGATACTGTAGAAGCGGTCACAAGCCTGATCAAGATCTTCAATACATAGGATTGAGGACCAATCGATTGATGCTATTGCTGCGTACAAGTTTTGAAAGTCTGCTTTACGATAATTAAGTTTGTTCATCCGGTTGTCACCCTGAAAGGGTGTTTCTTTCATACATTTCATTTCTACGTAGATTTTCAAGCACGGATGGTGTGAGTCTTCCTTCAATAAGGCCATCTCTTCTCTCACTACTTCCACATTTGTATGTTCGTTTGACAGGACTAAATCCAAAGCCGATTATATGAATTCGTGATTATGTTATGTTGACGAAAATTACAGAATTGCAAAAACCCATTATAGATGTTAAATAGTTGAGAAGTCCTACGCTGTACAACACAGTCCCTCAGCTCTGGTATATTAAAATCCCCACATATTAAGACCGGTTTTTTAAAATCAATAGAAGATTCTAGATAATCCAAGAATTGACAATAATCTGCGTGTGTAGATGAAGGTGGAATGTACACATTAATAATGGATATGTATTCATTTTTAAAGCTATTGACTACCGCTGTAAGTGCTCCTCCTCCTCTACCCTCAGCTCTATCATTACGGAATACAGTAAAATTATTTGGAAACCATTCAGACGATAAGACTTTATCCGTTAACCATATTTCCGTTAACAAAATCAAATCTACATCAATTACACTTGCAGCTAGATAAAGTTCATCAGTCTTTGTATTTAGACCCCTAACGTTTTGATACACTATATCAAATCTTAACAAGTTTGTGGCACTATTATTGGCAACTTCCTGTTGGACAATTATTGGTTTTTTAATGTAATAATTTTAGGTACCCCATTGTAATATTTTAACTTAATGTTTGTTTCACCTTTGGTAATGCGATCTTTAAACTCTTTCCGTACAGAATATGCTTTATTTTGCTGAAGCTGAGTTAAGTCCCTATTGACATAGACGTTATTTCGTGATGATTTATAATTTCTTAAAACAGTTTGAGCATGTTCAGCTGTCAGGAAGACTACTTTTAACAGACGAATTTTTGACTGCATAGGCTTTCCAATACGGAAACATTTGACAATCTCATTTGTGCTTACAGTGTCTGTAATGATAATGAGTTTCATAACGCTGTTTAGATCATCTTTATTTTTTTCTTCAGGGGTATCGGCCTGTGATTCAGGTACATAACTGACGATAATATTGGTAGATCGTCTTTGCCGGTCCTCAATTTCATTAAATATTTGCCCCTCAGTCATACATATAGCCCATCATGTCCACTGATAACATTATTTACAGTTTTTCCATTGAGATTAGATATTGTAGTTTTTAGCTCTGTTACTCCGGATTTCAATGCCGTTATCTCGGCCTGCATAGTTCCAACAATATTTGTGATGTTACATTTGTTGCAAAAGAAGTTTAGCTTACGGTTTGGATTCATCAAGCAGGTGATTTCTTGTTTGCTGAGACCTGAGCAGTTTCCATGTACCAAACATTTACAGATGTCACAATTAATACGATCTTCATTTCTGCCAACACTACGTTCACAAACATTACACTGTTGTGGCATTTTACCGACAATCACTAATCAACAAAAAGAGAAACAATTTAACTATGTTAATAGCATCAAAAGTTTTGAGAGTGTTATAGCTTGTATGCAGCGGTATTTTCTAACAAGTTTATAACTTGTTAGAAAATGTTTCAAAAACTTGTAGTACGACAGCGGCAAAACTTTACCAAAACTGGTAGAGTTAGCTAAATTAGCGATGTAGAAACTCGTCCATGATCGCAGAGACTACTGACATTAATTAATTTTTTTTCCAAAACTTGTAAATCCTGAGACTTCCTTCCATGGTGGACTAATTTTTAAATACAGTTAAATACAAATAATATTGCTAATTCTTTATCAGTTCTTACACATAAAAAAACTAAAAAATACTATACGTGACATACATTGATGATTCATTGTTTTAACATAGTTTACGTCATCAGTATAAATGGAGGTTTATGATACCTGCCCACTGGGGGGTGTTACAAAATGCTTAATATGTTAATATTCATTGACTTGAATGGGTTTAATTATGGATATTTTGAACAAGACTGTCATGTTTGTTTTCATTAAACTTGAAATTCGATTTATAGTCGAAAACGTTGGATGGCTCAATTTAACGTAATAAGTTAAAAATGAAAATTTAAATATACATGATTTAATACTGAATAAATCTGCTACGTGATGTCCACGAATGTTGCTATTAGTGGCTGAAATATGTAACAGTTTTTAAGATGAAATGTATTAATTTCGATATATTAACTATAAAATCAATCTTAACATTCAATGAACCGTTTTCGAAATATGTAGTAGACAAAATAAATTAGTTGATAGGTCAGTCTTAGACATCCTAGAGAAGTAATAAATGTAAAAAATAAAAGTGTAACGGTTGTAACAATAGATATTTATTTTATTAGGAGTTTAAGTGATACTTTATGTGTCGAGTATGGACGATTAAACGCCGAGCGATAGCGAGGCGATTAAGTCCATACGAGTCACATGAAGTCACTTCAACTCCGAATGAAATACAATATTTTATTTTCAAACGATTAATCTTCTTTTGAAATGATTATTTCCTATCTTCTTGTTTCATTAAGGAATTGCCTTGATTTCACTTACCATGTTTACTATGGTTGACAACTACTATGATTCTCACCATGGCCGACTCCATTAATCTCTAAAGAGATATGGCCGTTCCATTCGCCATTTTTTGGCAAGTACGGCAAGTA